TAGCATTACCCTGCTCGTACTTCCACTTTCTGTGGTTGACAGTTACCTTTTCCTAATTTGTCTAAAACTTCCATAGGGAAAAAAATCTGACAGATTTAGGGATTTAGAACGATTAAGTTACCAGCAAGTCATGCTGCTAACTCTAACTGCCACTTTCTGATGTCTGAACAGTCATGGCAAATCTTAGCTATTAAGAAGCTCCTTCAAAGTACAGCAAAGGAAGGTGTATTAACACACTCTCAAAGCCACAACAGTTTACAGTAATGTGTGAGACTTTGTCACCACCACATTTCTTCCTGCACCACTGGCATCACAGCACTCTGCCAACCACTTTCTAATATCACAACTTATGGTATGTGTGGTTTTCAATTGAAAACCTAAATACTGGAGCATCACCTCATGCAAAAACAGTCTCTTACATTCTTGCATGTGAAATGCATCTAAGTGAATGGAATTAATCTATAAAGAACAGTCCTAGATCAGTGCATGTATTTTTGAAACTCTGAAGTTCATTTTTACATTACACTTAAGTTGCAAGTTAAAACTGACTGTCAGAGCCTTGTCAAGCCTTTCCTTCTATATTAGATAACGTAGTGAACTCAGCACTCTCCATATCTTTTCTTTCAAAACTGCTTTGTATATCATGAAGGAATAAAAAGAATACTTTGCTTTGAATTATTCACAGTGCAAAATCCAGAAGAAGCTCTATCCGGATTCTCAGGCACTTACACTCCCTGAACATCATTTTGCCTGTAACAAAGGAAAATGTAATTTCACAGCTAGGATTTTTTGCCAGTAGCAGCTGTAGAGAAAGCTCAAGCTTCAATACTACCTCATGAAAACCTGAGCATTTTTCCACAGGCTACATGTCTCAACTAATTTTTTTAATTAGTCAATTTTTAATTTTTTAAAACAATTAATCATTTAAACGTTCACTGTTACCTAGCTGCTCAAAAATTGACTTGAGAACAGTGAGGAACCTATCATAGTTTGATCTTCTTCCTCTTTGCAAAGTGGAAACACTGCTAACAAAATGCCTCCATTATTATACATCTGATTGGAATCTCACACTTCTTTTTGACACTTCTAATTAGTAACACCCAGATTTAAGGACAGCGTTAGCTGGAAATACCACTTTACATTGGGAAACACAAAGGTTCCACTCAACTTTATTTCATGGCATGCTGTAACACACACCTTCATCAGCTTTGTTATTCAGTATTTACTCAGTACTCACCCAGTCAACCTTACTCTGCAAACATACTTGAGCATTGCTAGGTAATTCAGTCTGAAAGTTGAAAGCAACTTCTGATGCTGGCAAAGATAAGAGAAAACATTAAAATAAAAGTACTGTAAATGTAATCTGCATTTTTATTTTCTGATACTTGCCTCCAGGGCATTACCAAAATTCAACTGCAAAGAGATTATACAGGAATTCATTTATTCACACATTAAAAGCTCTAACTCACCATAGGACCAATTTTCCATTTCTACCATGAATTTTAACACAATATGAAAAATTACTTAGTTTCTTTCTGCATTGGTGATGCTGGCATTGTTTCTCCAGCCACTACAGATTTCCAACTTATTAACAGCTTCAGTAATGTAATACCCAGAATGCATAAATGGATTTAAAAACAAACCAACAAACAAATAATACATACACCTGATATAAATACTGCATTTAATGAGGTTTTTTTTAAATTTGTTTTTTCATTAGCTTGTACAAACGTTTGATAACAATACAGTAAAATTGAACAATAATCTGTTTGTTAAATTATGCGCTTTTAATGTTTTCAACAGAAGTAGTCAACTAACCCAAGAATCCAGATTTAACAGAGAAGCCTGATCTGATTTCCTACAGTTTGCCAGAACTAGATACAAAACCAGAAAACCTAATGTACTTTAAATTAAGATTTCATCACAGAGATGATGTAGAAGGACCAATGCACAGCTATACATCTCTGTAGTTTGAATAAGTTAACTTTAAAACTCTAATAAACCTTACATACCCCTCCTATCTCCTTTAAAGAAACTGAATTTTCGGCTTAGCGAGCTACTCACCTTGTTTAGAAGACAAATGGGACACAGGTAGTGCTGGTTGGAGGGATTTGCCAACAAACTGCTGAGCTCCCTTCAGCATTTTGAAGTGCCACTCTTTAAAAAAAAAAAAAGCAGAATAAATAAGCAAATAAATTCACAGGAAAGTATCAAGTCCATGGGTTGAAACTACAGATACTAACGAAACTAGGAATTCCCTGTGTTACAACCTTCTCAACTCAAGAAAAGAAAAGGCTGAAGAGTTGTAAACAGAAGCAGCAATGAAAACTCCTGCAGAATGAACTGAGACCACTGACTTGGAAGATTAAATTTAATTTTATCCAAATTAGGAATGCTTACTTAAGGATATATACTAGATACTAAATATGCACACAAAGCAACGCAGGACTGATATCACAATAATCACAGAATGGCCAGGGTTGGAAGGGATCTCCAACCCCCCTGCCACACGCAGGGCCACCAGCCTCCACATTTAATACTAGACCAGGCTGCCCAGGGCCCCATCCAACCTTGCCTTGAACACTTCCAGAGATGGGGCATCCACAACCTCTCTGGGCAGCCTGTTCCAGCACCTCACCACTCTCTCTGTAAAGAATTTCCCCCTGACATCCAACCTCAATCTCCCCTCCCTCAACTTAAAACCATTTCCCCTTGTCCTTGATATCTGCTGCATAAGAAGGCAGAAAAAGAAAACACCAGCTTCCCCCCCGTATCCTGATCATAAGTAGTGCTAGTAGATTCTAGAATGAAGCAATAATTTCTAGAAAGCATTCTCCTATACAGCAGAACAAGATCACATGCAGCAATGACAAACATCCCATTCTCCTCCTTGCCCCCAGATTTCCAAGGTTGCCCACAAAACCACACAGTCACAAATAAGGAAACTAAGAGAGGGCAATCTGAGATCAATGTTGGTGTTAAAATAGCTCAACTTTGTCCTTTTTAAGTCCTGTAGGTACAAGGATGAAGCTACACGAGATCTCCACAAGTCACCCAGCCCAACCTTCTGCATTCATACACTATCCTATCCTTGTGATATCAAGAAAAGCAGAGCAAGGCTGGCCTTAGCAGCACTGCCTCCATGAGGGAGCGTTACTGCAGGGCACATGCCGCAGCCCAGGCCTTCTCCTCGCACAGCCCACAACCCGCCTCTCCGGCTCCCACCCGTCCCACGCCGCTCACCACCGCCCCCCGGCCCCCCGTAGGCCATCAGGATCCCGCTGCCCACCTCCAACCGCCTCCCGGTCGGCCGCCCGAGCCCCGCCCGCCCCCAGCCGAGCTCTCGCCAGAGCCGTTGAACGGTCGCCGAGCGCCTGGCTGCCCGCGCCGCGCACGGCGGGACTGTGCCCCCAGATAGCCGTCCTCTATAGCGCAGCCATGTTTCTTTGGGGCCTTACCGCAGAAATAAGGAGAAAGCGAGTGATTTTTGTACACAGCCGTGAGGCCACCCCACGTGCAGCCCTCCTCAATGAAGAAGAAAACCCGAGAGAGCACACACTGGAAACTGAAAAGCAGCCCTGCCACCCTGCCCCACCACACCGTGTGTGGCACCAGGGAACGGCCGCCAGCTGCTCACACGCATGGCCGTGTCCTGCTTTGGAGTTGCAACGTGCTGCTCTTCAGCATGGCACCAGCATGGGATCGGCTCTGCTAACTCCCGAGGAGGCAGATCAGAATGTGCTGATGTTAGTGTCTTAGATTTCAGGTGGTCACCTGATCTATATTACTTAAGTTCACAGCATTAATGAGAAATCCTTAACTTCTTAAATCTTTTGTTTTAGTAGATAAATTTCCTAACACTGACTCCAGAGGTTCAGAACAGGTAGGCAACATCAGATACACAGCTTGATTACATGAACAGCAAATACCTCCATAAGAAATATTTTATTACTAACATTAAGATTTACGATACTAATTTTCACCTGTAAAGACTTTTTTTTTTTTTTTTTTTTGCTCCACAACCATCCTGCTTTTTCTTCGCTGCCATCTCTGAATTGTTTGCGTTAAGTCAGATGAGCAAAGTACGATACTGTCCCTGAAATGGAGGCTAATAGATACAGGTGTCGTGCTCTCATAGTGTTTTTTCCCTAATGTACCACCTTCCAGTTAGATTCCTGCTATACAGTGCACCATCACATTCTTAAATGGGTGTAGTACCTCTTCAAACCTGCTAATCTGGTTCCTGCCATTTAGAGTATGGTTTGAAGTCATCTCTCCCAAGTGTATGATTATTTTATATCGTATCATGTTTCTTCTGGCCCATGTCATCTATTCTCCCAGGGTTATAATGTAAAACAGTTACTACCCTATCCAGATCAACCTTATCCTTTAGCTAAACCAGTGCTATTTATTAATTATTAATATGTAAGTGTACATAAATATTACATGTCTGCTGCTACTCCAGAACAGCTCCTGACAGAAAAGTCAATGGGGCAACCAAGATAAAGCTGCTTTTTTTTTTTCCCCACAGGGCTGTTGCAGTTTTGAAAGAATCACAGAAGCACAGAATGGCCAGGGTTGGAAGGGACCTCAAGGATCATGAATCTCCAATCCCCTCCCACGTGCAGGGCCACCAACCTCCACATTTAATACTAGACCAGGCTGCCCAGGGCCCCATCCAAACGGGCCTTGAACAACTCCAGGGATGGGGTCAGGTGCTGCAGAATGCTTCCATCTGATCAATACAGCTCTTCTTGTGGTTGACATATCAAAATGACATTATGTACAGTGATGTAGTTTTGCATGTCATTCTAGTATTTTTGTAGGTTTGGATATGCTAAGGATGAATTAAACAGTAAAAGCCATACTGGTGTATTTCACAAAGGCTGTGGGCTGGGCTGCTGCTGCTGTTAATACACAAAGGAAGGATAAGAGGACAGGGGCAGAAATGGGGTACGAAGAGGAAAGAAATTGAGTGTGCCAGATAATTTGACAGCTTGTTGCGTCTGGTACTGCTGGGAAGATGGAAATATTAGTGCTGGTAATGGCTGTTTTTGAGGCACTGATCATCCCAGCAGGAATAGTTATCACCTTGCACGCTGCCACCCTGACTCAGCAGTGCCAGCAGTAGTAGTGAGGCCAGCTTTTCAGCATTCTGGCGCAGGCAGAGGAAACACTGGACCACAGCCATTTCACAGAGCCCAGCAACCTGCTTGCTTAAGCCACCACTTACTTTGCTTAGAGAGAATCCTGCTTCTGACTGTGGTAATTGGAAACATAAGTTGCTTTGTCCACTTTATCAGCTGCCTACCAGTTTCTCTGGTGCTGGTTCCACCCTTGCAGAAATTTCTGCTTCATTTGATGTTATTTATGTTCTTGCATTATGTGTTGATAGGCCAGTGATCTCTCAAATACCTGATACAAATAACTTGAAGAACCAATACATAATCCTTAGTTAAGGATTATATATTATATCCTTAGTCAAGGAGAGAAATAGAATTATATAGAGAGAAGTAGAAGAGAATAGAAAAGCTCTATTTTGGTGAACTAATAGATTCTTTCTTTTTTTCCTTCCTTCCTTCCTTCCTTCCTTCCTTCCTTCCTTCCTTCCTTCCTTCCTTCCTTCCTTCCTTCTTTCCTTCTTTCCTTCTTTCTTTCTTTCTTTCTTTCTTTCTTTCTTTCTTTCTTTTTCTTTCTTTCTTTTTCTTTCTTTCTTTTTCTTTCTTTCTTTTTCTTTCTTTTCTTTTCTTTTCTTTTCTTTTCTTTTCTTTTCTTTTCTTTTCTTTTCTTTTCTTTTCTTTTCTTTTCACATACTTTTTTTTTTGTGCTCCTGAAGTCTAGATTTGAGAGTCATACAATCACATTTACTGTTTTTACTAGATAAAGTTCAGGAAAGCATAAAGCACGAATGAAAAACGGTATCCATACTGCACATGTAAAAATGACTGATCGCACATCTAAATAAGCATTTAATTGTAATTTTACATTATCTTCCAAATGAATGGCACTTAGTAGCAGAGTGATGGTGTTGTGCTGAAATGAAAGGACTCTTGGGCTAGCCTGGGGGCAGACTTGTAGTTGCAAGTTTTAAAAGACCTTTTCCGTGTAATTTGTCATTCAGTTGTGCAGCCAGGTGTAATCAATCTACTTGCATGTGTAATTGTGATTTATGTAGCAACCCCTGTTGAGATTTTTTTTTCTAAGGCCACTTTCAAAGTAACTTCACACATCAAAAAATCTCCAATGCCATATGTTTTCATTAGTCAGTCACTAGAAAAAAAACACTGCAAGAAAAATGTGTGTGTGTACACATACAAACATGCATACTGAATATTTTGGTTGTATCTTGGTGAAGTGGCTACTTCAGCTGAACTAGTGATTGTCACCAGCATTTTCCTTGTCACTAGCACAAAGAAAGAATGCAAAAGCTTTTTTTTTTTTTTTACCCCCGTCTATTCCTAAAGTTGACGAACTATAAAGATTTCTCCTGATTTTTACATATTTGAGAATTCAGAATATTGATAATGATGATTAATTGTATTCTTATAGATTAGAGAAACTGTTAAATTAAAAGCAGGAACTTATTGGTGCACTTAGTGCCTACAAAACATGTCACCAAAAGAGGTTTGAATGTTAATGATCAGTATACAATACTGCACCGAGTATGTTAATAAATGAAAATGTATTTTCTTCACATACAAAACTTTCACTTCTGTCAACGCTCATGCTTCTCTTAGATTAAGATTTTAAGTTTTTCTTTAAAGTTAATTTTCTGGGATCATTAATTTTAACAGAATCTCAACATTTAGCCAGGCTGGATGTGGCTCTGGGCAGCATGGTCTGGTGGTTGGCGACCCTGCACATAGCAGGGGGGTTGAACCTAGATGATCATTGTGGTTCTTTTCAACCTAGGCCATTCTATGATTCTACAATTTTTCTTCCAATTTTCTAATTACTGTAAATCTGGAAAACATTGATCAAAGTAATCATAAAAATATCAATAAATCCCCAAAGGGCACATAAAAATAATTTTACAAATATGTATACAAAAGATACATAAAAATTAAAGAGTCTTTATTTTGAGAAAGGACTGCCTTGCTCATCTTTCATCACTGAGAGATGGCAGTACTGAAGTATAAAACTTAATTACTGCACCTAAACTGAACATTGCATTCAGGATTGTATGAACTGAATGTTCTCAGCGACTGCAGGCACTGAGCATTGGAATTTCAACTGGCCTTATTCTGTAGGCTCTGAGAATCACCTGCTGTTCTCCTTCAGGAAGAAGATCCCAAAATCTACAGGCAGGAAGATGAAAAGGCAGCAATGTCACAGAAACCATAGAATCCATTATGTTACATAGGTTTTACATCAGCATCTGTTGTCACTACCAGGACCAGCACTGGTGCTCCACACTTCTCAGAGTTGCCCTTTTGATTTTAGAAAGCTCAACTGTTTATCTGTTGAAGGAACTAACATATGGAAGGCACATCTCAGACACAGAGCTGTATTTTGATAGAATCGCATTGGATAATGTGGAAGAAGATGCCATGGGACAGGTGATCCTAGAGAAGCAAAACTGCTGGATTACAGTTAATGGCTTAATAACTTTTGTGTATGCGAGAAGATCCTGATATTTTCTTCTAGTCTATGGATATATCTCTTGTTTGCTTATTTTGTACTAACAAAAACATGAAAATTTCAATTTGTGGTCCTACAGATCTTCAACTAAGAATCAACAAATGGATTAAAATTCATCCACATCTGTTGTTTCCAGAACGAAGTTTTGTAGTCTGTGCACAGACACCTAGTAGTAGAGAAATTAATAGAATATATTTAGATATAGATAGATATTGTGTATTTTTATATATGCACAGGAAAAGAGACTTAAGCATTTCATAGTTGATAATATCCTGGAAGAGTTCCATGTGCTTTGGGAGAATGGAATTTTGAAATTGTGGCTTAATTTAGGGAAAATTTTGTACTTCCCCCCCTACCCCCGCCTAGGTTTGGGCCAGAACTTCATCTGTTGTTTGTATAGATTCCCTGTGAGCTTTTTCTATCTGATATGTCTATCATAGCTTAATTACAAGACCTTTTTACTTATACTGGAGTTAGTCTCTGAATTTTAAAACAAACTTCAAGAGAAATCTGCTTATGTTCCAGTAGTATGTAAAATCTTGCTTTCCAGTATTTCACTGATGGGAATTAGTTTTAGTTCTTACACTGACTGAGATTACTGTCATAGCTTTTAATACCTGGAATTCAAATAACATAACTAAGGCAGTCACTTTAGATTGAGACTGTACATCATCATTCAATAGTTGCCACCCAACCCTGCACTGATAAGTCAACATACAGTAAAATGGAGACAAAAGAGTCAAGACCAAGAAAATTATTAATATACACATATATATGTATCAACATTTGGATGTGATACAAGGAATCCCTTTTTCAGCAGGTGTGCAAAAGTGTAATTAATGTACAAATTACAGCCATCAGAACATATTTCTCAGGACTGAGATAATCTATTTATGTTACAGCTGTGGGGAAAAAAAGTTATTAAAATTGTTGACAGTTTTATTTACAGACCAAATAGGAAATACAATTCCAACATAATAAAAGGGTTACGCGTTCAGATGTGTGTATATACATATGAGAGTAAGAATGACATTAATGACGATTCTTCCACTTCACACACCTTGGGAAATCATATTTGCTTTGTCATCCTAAAATGTATTTTTGTAAAATGGCTAAATAGAAGTTACCAAGTATTGAAAGTAAAGAATCCTGACCTCCTTTAGCTTTTCTTGCTTGTAAGGTAAGGCTGTCTTATAAGGAATCAGAATAAAGTTTCTGACTTATTCAAATTTTAATTTACTTACAAGAAAAAAAAAAAAAAAGATTAATATTTCTATAGCTTTTAAGTGAATATCTGTCTTAAATTGGTTCACTCTGTTTTCCTAGGTGGTGGTGTACATCTAATACACTGACAGACTTTCAGTCAGTGTAACTTCAGCACATGCTGGTGTTTCATGTAAGATGTCATCTCTGGTTCTGTGTTGTTCTATGTGCATGTGTCTTAGGTTTTTAAAAGCACAGTACAGCAGAAGTGCTTTCCAGTCCTTTCTGTCTGCACCTGTATTTACTTATATTCTAAGACAGGTAATGCATCATGTCATACCCAGCAGATATGTTCTAATCTTGGAAAAGGACAGTGAGAACTACTGCAGCACCCTGCAGCTTCTTTGTGATTCGCACTTCCAATTCCCTCTGGAAGCAGGGCAAGAAAGAGGTGGGGGATGAGCCTCAGCCTTGTCCTAAAGTGGATTCTGGAGCACGTACCTACCAGTAACACAGATATAACCTGGCTGTCCTGTGTGCTGTCCAAATGTAAAAACATCATTCTGTGCTTCACTTCCTGGAACTAAAAGCCCTTGCCAGGCAAACTATCTTGAGAGAACCAAGTTAATACACTGGAGGGATCTGAGAGATAACAGCTAAGAGGAATAAAGTCTAGCATTTAGCAGCCTTCTTTTTTTCTAGCAGAAACAGCAGTTTGATAGTCAGTGAAACAACTCCCTGCCTGAGCTGGGATTCCTTGCAGCAGGAGCTAATTACCAGAAGTGGGAAAGCTCTGCAAATGCAGGATACTTTGTAGTACTGGAGTGCAGTAAGGGAAAACTAATGCCCTGTGAGGCTTGGCATTCCCTGCTGGAGATTACCCAGCTAACAGAAGACAGAAATTGTACAGTTTATGCTCCAATACACTTAGCATTTACTTACTGCCAGTCACCTAATCTTACCACTTCATTGTAGCAGTGGACCCATCAATTTAGGCTGGTGATGTAACTCAGGACAGAAGGTTCTTTTGGCCAAGATTTTCTCATCCATATACTCTGAGCCTTATCCTGTTAGTTACTCTGCTCTTTTTAAACACTAGCAAAGGCAGGGGAAAAGCAGAAGTCACCAAACAGCAAATACAAGAGCAGGTCAGAAGCAAAATCATTGCCAATCTCATCAACCAAACAGGTTTAATTGAAAACACAGAAAGCAAAAGTAGTGCCTGGTAAACATATTCTGTAACTGAAGCCCTACAAACACCACAGGAATCAAAAATAATTTGGTATTTTGAATATAGCAGTCCAGAGCGTGCACTGGAAGAAGTTCACTGCCTGCGAAACGATAACCTGAAATCTTTGACATTATTGAGAATGAAGAGAATAGAGTATTTATATGGACCCCTAACTGGCACAATTGAAAGAGATTTAGATTCATCTTACAAAAAATAAGAAGAAAACATCAAAAAAATCAGATCAGTTTCACATTTTCATGTAGGAAATACCATTTCTTAATCAGTCCCTTCCCTGATCATATATTACTTAAATCTCTATGAGGATATTTTATCACTCTCTTCTTCCTTTGCCTGCTCTCAAAAATCAGCATTAGCAATGGTGCAGTACACTTACTGCAGTGTTAAATGTATGTACATGTGTATATCTATGAGCTATTCTGAGCATAACAAGAATAAAAATTGTTCTGTGGTAATATCTTTTGTTTCAGAACTGCAAGCTCTTGCTCATATCAGTGCACTGTAACTACTGTGACTTCTAGTCTGGCTGTTTCTCTGGCTCAGCAATGGGCAGTGTCACACAACACAGGGCTGTGCTGTCTGTGCGTGACAGCAGCATTGATTTTTCTGCACTCAGTGAAGCATAAGATAAGAGTTCTCCACACTTAACCTGCCCTGTCTTCTTAATGCTAAAAGCATAGGAAAATCCAGCCGTTCACTTGATAGAGTCTGAATTAGGTGAGGCTATATTGTTCCTTCTCTAACTCATGTTGGAGGGCTATGAATTGGAAAGCTTTCACTTCCTCCCAAAATGAGATATATGCCAGGCTTTCAATTTGGAGTTTCAATTACATTGAATTGTGGGAACTTTTGCTTTACTTCCAGACCATTTCTAATCTTGTTTGAAATGGAAAGGCTGCATAGTGTTTTTGGGTGGTTTAATATGTTAAAATCACAATATATATAATGGTTACCTTTTCTGCATTTTACTCTAAAACAAAGAACAAGCAAAAAGGTTTATTCTGATTATTACCAGATCTATATAGATAACTAGGCCATTTCTGCCTTTGCAAAATAAATTACGGTATGTTTGCACATCCAAGGTTTTACTATAAATAATAGCTGTGATATTATATATTTTTAAATTTGGAAGAAAAAAAAAAAAAAAGAAACCTTATTTGTAAGGTTTGTGTCTTCTTCAATATCAGCCTTGTGATGTGTTGACTTGCTGCAAGGACCAGGCAGCGGGCCCTATTTTATACCAGTTCTTTTAGTGGTGACAGGACGTTTTGAATAGGACTGGAACTATTTTGAATGGAAATGTAGATTCCAGTGATTTTTTCAGGATGCCTCCAGTATCTTGTCTGTTCAGCAGTATGGAAATGAGACCACTTCAGCATTTTTCTAATCAGAATAAAATTAATGAATCTGGGGACAGTTCTCACGCTATCCCTGTATGTACAGTATGTACAAAGCGATGCTTACAGTGTTGAATGTTTTATTAACCTTATCAGGGCTGGAAAAGAATCATAGAATGGTTTGGATTGGAAGGGACCTTTAAGATCACCTAGTTCCAACCCCCTGCTAAAGGCAGGGACACCTCCCTCAAGACCAGGTTGCTCGCAGCCCCATTCAGCCTGGCTTTGAATGCTTCCAGGGATGGGGCATCCACAACCTAAATGGGCAACCTGTTCCAGCATCTCACCACCCTCACAGTAAAGACTTTCTAATATCTAGTCTAAATCTCTTCCATCTTAAAGCCATTTCTCCTTGTCCTGTCACTACCTGCCCTTATAAAAGGTCCCTCCCCAGCTTTCCTGTAGGCCCCCTCAGGTACTGAAAGGCTGCTATAAGGTACCTCAGAGCCTACAGAAGGCTGACTGCACACAAACATAGGAAGAGATTAATGCCTAACAATGATGAGAACTCTTTTTTCATTTTGTTTTGTTTAGTTTTGTTTTCTCTGTGTGTGTGTGTGTGTATGTGAGAGATCTGTGGCCAAAATCTAAGCCATTTCACAGTATGCTATTATATGTAATTTATTCTGTACCATGCATGTATTTTTAATAATTTTGCTTAACTCCATTATCATCCAAATGTTTAAAGGATTTAAATATAATATTACATAGTTTTGTAAACATTACATAACTTTTGCTTCCACAGGTATTGCAGCTCCGTAATGTTTGACATAATAAGCACCAAAACAGAAATAAAAGACAGTTAAATCTTAGCGAATGAAAAATGTAAGTTAAATATAAATGCATAAAGCACAATTTTCAGTACATTGACCGTCCCAGCAAAGTAACAGTAGTGCACATTTATGTTAAAGGATACAGTACTTTTTTCTGCCTCCTAAATAACAAAGGTGCATAAGCAGCACTGTAAGCTCTCACAACCCTCTTCAGTACTGATTAGGGATAGCCAAGTAATTTTTTGATGGGAAAAAATCAGAGAATGCCAATTAGCAAACTCAGGTTTCTAAAGCGAAGACTCCCAAGGTGATTGCATTTTCAAAACAATACAGACACAGATCTCTTGAAAATCTACATGCACTCTGTTGGCTCACCTGGGGGATACTTGGGGTGCTGTGCCATGCAGCCTACTCAGGGTAAGAGGCTCCAAGCTAGCAGAGCTTTTCAGGAAGTGCACAGTACCTTTCAAGTTGATATGCAATAGAAGTTTTATTAAAGATTCATTTTTTCAAGGT